AATTAAATTTATTTATTTTAAAAAAACATAACAAATATATAATTTTCTTCAGAAAAGTTAAGGATTAACAGTGAAATGCAATATCGGGCATATATTTAAATCCTGCATTCTTTTCGAGACACTTAATACATTTAAAATTCAATTTTAAATAAATAAATAAAAATGTATAAATACTGATCACACTGTGCAAACTTTTGTTTAGTATAAATCAAGTAGACGAGCAAAACGATTACGTCTAATTATATTTACAGGCAATTAATGCGATTTACGTTGTTGATGGTAACTCTAGTGTATATTAATAAAATCAAGTTTGATGATCAAGAAAATTTAAGGATAGGTTAATTCCATAATAAAACTTAATATGATTCGACAAAACAGACAGCTGCTAAGTATACGGTAGGCGAATACGTTATGATTAGAAATGTTGACACTACACCATTATGCCAAAAACTTTTAGAATAGGTAAACTTTATGTTGTAACCGATATCGAAAGACACCAGATAACTCAAATCCCATAAAATACCATAATCGCCGCTAGGGATATTAAACATTGGATTAAAAATTAATCTTTTTTTAATTATCTTGTTAACTTTTATAATATAAGTTATAATTAATTTATTATCATTTATGTTAACTTATTATACTGATCATATTACTATTTTATTAGTTTACTATAATTATTTTTGTTTTCTGATTTTCAATATTAATTATACAAATTAGAAGAAATGATGTACTAAATAATTAAATTATGTATTTATTCTGTACATATCGAAAACGATCTTAGGGGTCAGATATGGCCGAAGCTATAGTTATTATTATTATCATTTTGCTCATTATCGATTGGACGCATTCCGAGCATATGACGCTCTAGCGAAGTCATAATTGAACCGTAGTGCGTCAAGACGCCGTATGATCTTTGTTTGCGTCTTCCATATATATGTTCTTTTTCTTATTCTATTACATTTAATACAATATCGTGATAAATATTTTACTGGATATTATAAATATTTACTTGGTCACCTTGGTCAAATTGGTAATCAAGTACTGCAAAACAATCTAGAATATATATACTTATACGTACCTGCGCTTAATAATAGTTAAATTTAGTTAATACTTATTAGGATATAAGTATTCGCCAACATTTTAGTAAATGTATGGATACTTTTTTAATCATATTAATTTTAAATACAAATTTTCATTATTGAATATTTTTGTCGCAGCTTCACAGGCGATGCGCAGGTAAATCCCCGAGTCTCCAATGCACTCAAAATATTAATTAAGTATTATATATTAAAAAAAATATCTAAATAAATAAATATATAACATTTATATTTCTATCTAGATTGAATAATAGATTATTAATATTTTATGAAGATAAATCTCAACTCTGCTAAGGGTTACCTTAATATATAATTGTGTTTAAGATAATAAATTATGAATATAGAAATGTATTTGGTATACACAAACTCAATGTCTTGATTAGGTATTCTAGCGTTATTGAGATTCTAACTAAATCTTTTTAAGTCGTTACCTTTATTAGTAAAAAATCGATAATATTTAATATTAATTTATTATCTATAATAAAGAATAAAAAATTGATTAGAAATATTTATTATATTTTTTAATATTATGCAATTTAATCGTAAATATAGCATGATTAACATTAATTGGAATAAATAAAATTACATTTATATAAATACTGTTGATGAAAATTAAGATCGATAACAAATAAGTTGTGTTTAATTATTATATCGGTATTAGGTGTTATTAAATATATTAGGCAATTAGATATGTTTATTTTTTTACTAAGCAGTTTTAATAATATAACCTTACTATATGTAAACGTATAATAGCAAAAGTCGAGTTGTGAGACAAAAAGAGTAACTTTGAAATATTATTTTTGAATTATTGTTAATAAAATGTTCGTATTTCGTATAAGATTTGACGATAGTATATATATGATTCAAACATTTTTGTATAACGGAAAAAATGTATTCAGTTTTAAACGATCATTTAATTTTAAGGAAAATTTGTTTTAATATGCATGGTTTTAGTTTTCAAAGTTTTGACCTTAATACGTGTACGTCGAAATGACGGTGTACAAAATCTCCAACAATGTCTTATAGATCAACTGTATATAATGCATATTTTGTAATCACTTACAGGTCTATCTTGAATTTATGGTGGTATGGAACGCAATAATGATTTATCCAGTAAACAAGGAAATGGGGATGAAAATAAAGAACGTTGGAATTTTGGCAGTCGTACAACATAGGTTTTACTGTGGGAATTGCATGTATTACATATATTCAGGGAATATTTACTCACACACTTTATTATATACATTGGGAGCGTTTAGTATTGTATTCGTATTTTTTTTTTTTTATTCAGTTTATATTTTATCCTTTAGGTTTCTTAAAATATAGGTCATTTTAAAAATAAAAATTATACGATGATATTTTGTATTTATATTTTTCATTTAATTATAGTTAATAATTAAGAGATTTAACCATAAAATAAATTTTCTATCAGATATCGAGTAATAAAATATAATCTTTGTAATATTTTCATCAAATTTATATTTAAAAATAGTAAAACAGCTAAGAATTAAACAAATCATGATTTATAGTTCCAAACATGTTACGTTGCGAATTTTAAAATTTCTGGCTAATTCTTGCAAGGCGATCTGAATCACATAACGTTGAGTTTTTGGTATTTTCGAGGTAGTTTGTGTGAAAAGGGATCTAGGGGAGAATGATTGGGAGGGCTGTGCTTTTTCGGCCGTTGGCAGTGAGGGCACCGGGGTTAAGAAATACGTATCTATCAGGGTAGATGCTGGTGGTTCAGTATTTTATACCTATGGGCGGTGGTATATTCTCGTGGTTGTTCCAGTGGTCGTAGACCAGTCAGGTGTGCTTGCTCATTGATCTCAATGGACGTTTAACTAAATTTAATTTACAGTTCCTACTTTTGTATTTTAAAATACAAAACGTAACAATTTTTTGTTTTTTAAATCGTTACTTTAACATTTGAGTAGGTCTATTATGATTTCATACATTTATAGCTTATGAAAATTAGATGATTGTTGATTTTATTATTATTATTATTATTATTGATAACATCTCTTATATCATGAAAGTAATAAGTATTTATTGAAGTAGTTCTTACCAAAAAACCGTCAGCTAATACACTAATAGATCAATAGATGTTAAGTATAATATATGTGGTGAAAATGATAGGCTTTAATAGAAAACATGATGTTTTTGAAATGAAATGTAAATGGCATATTTATAGGTTAAAATATTTAGAGCCACTACGTTTTAAGTTGAATGTTACTATTGGACAATTAGTATAGACCAGGGATGGCAAACCTTTTGAATCCAAAATTACAACTTTTTTTTTTTTTTTTTATAGAGCGTGCCACGAAAAAAATATTAAAAATATTATATTTTGTTATATTATAATTTAATTGTATAATTAATGTATTAGTATAAAAAGGTAAGTTTAGGTACCTAATAATAATAATATAAAATAAATAATAATTATAATTATAATAATATTGCTTTATTTATTATTTATATTAAATTATATTGTAGGTCTTATAATATTATATAATATATAACAGTAAACATTTTCGCGTGCCATCTCGGACACACGTGCCATGGATTTGCCATCTCTGGTATAAACCATATAGATACTTATATACACAGTTCAATTTTAATGCTTTAGCTGAATATACATGTCAAATGACATATACCTTTTCAATGTCGTAACCATTACAGAAGACCGGATGACTATTAAAAGTTTGATGTTGAATATATATCTTATTGTATTTTTTTTTTATACTTAACGACAAAACTATTGAATTCCCCCCCCCCCACTCCGTAAAGTATATAGGTAGTATAAATTTATGTTTTAGTTATTTTATCTTTCTCACAACTTCCAAAATATTAATTACCTATATGTAATAATAACTGTCCATGTCTGATGTTTGAAATTGAAATAATACGGAAAATAAATACGAAAAATAGAAGTATATAATATGTAAACTTGTATTAACTTTTCTATAGAATCCATTGTTTGATTTAAGTAGTTACATTTAAAGGTTTTTCTAACACATTTACAAGTTCTTTGGGCAATTACGTGAAATACAATCATGGAAATTTAAATAACATCTAAAATATATTTCTTTACTTAGCATTCTTCGCGGTGATTATTGGTGATTTTCTTGAGTTTTTTTCAAAAACATTTATTTTTTTATTTGAAATAAAAACCTATAAATCAGCTAATATGCAATCTGTTTTCTCAAAAAATACATGTAAGTTCCTTTACTTATTCAAGAAAAGTTTCAAGAAGTATATTATAAATTAATAGAATAAAAAGAGAAAATTCTTAGTTCATAATTAAAGGTTACTATTCTTAAGTGACTTAAGCCATTTGTGTTCACTAATTAGTAATTAATATTAACTTCTTGTTTAAGTAAAGTTATAAAAAAAGGAATATGTATTTCTGTAAAACTGATATCTTATACTAAATAAAGTATTAATAAATATTATGCTGTACAAATGAATTTGCGCACTATTTTATCTTAATATAGTTAAACAAAATATTTACGAATAAAATCATGGGTTTTGACTAAAAATAAATACTAATACTAATACTGTATACTAATTTCATTGTAGATTTTTTTTACTTCTCAGGCTCCTTGTATTTACTTACTTAAGTGTTTTGTTGATATCTCACGTGTCTAATAAAGGCACAATATATGTTTATTATAGATTCTCTTTTCGATGTATTTATATTCAGTTCTACAAGTTTGTTGATAAAAGTATAAGTTAAAGCAAATAAATGTATAAATTCGTACCTACATATAGGAGTAGTTAATATACATATAGACAAAAACTGCGTTAAACTTTTGAATGGAAAATTGCGTACCAAGAAGAAGTTTTTTATAACTATTTTATTCAATTACTTTCTAATTTAAATACAATTTATTTTAGAATACATGGATGCTCCTTGCATGATTCAAAAATAGAAAATAAAAACTTGATAATAGTTTACACAACCTAATCAATGAATTAAGGTAGGTACATAATTTTTATAATTTTCCGTCATCCTGGGTTTAAAAAAATACAACCAATAATCTATTATTGACAGTTGCAATAAAATTCGACCAATTTTTGTGTATACAACATACAATAGTAGTTCCTAACCATGTGCGAGTATTTATTCAATTTTATTCAAATTCATTAACATTGTAGTAAAAAAATGAAAAGTAAGTTTCATTTATTAATCGAAATTAATTTCTTATGGTTCATTAAGAATTATAAAAATAAAAGTTTTCTGCAAAATATTAAAATAAGCGGATATAATGTAACATGGTGAATTTATTTTAGTAAATGGACATTCATGTAATGGAATAATGTATTCACAGTTTTAAAAATGTCAGGACTATTTTAATGATTTTTTTCAGATTTAGCAACAAAATAAATTGAATTGACCAAAAAAAAAAAATTAATTATGTACTTAGCTATTATTAAATTATTAAATAATATTGTATTATCTGATTGAATGAACTAAATTATATTTATTAAGTTGAAAATATGTTTCATAGTAGTCATAACAGAAAAGCGAACTGATCAAAGAACGATGTAGGTTTTAACATTTTGTTTTATTATTTTTTTAAAATTTAATTCCAGTAAATCTTTAATTTGTAAAAAGTGGGTATGTGATTTGTGTGTAAACTATTCGGATAATATATGCATACATATCTATGTATATAAAAATCTCGTGTCACAATGTATTTGACCCATACTCCTCCGAAACGATTTAACCGATTTGATTGAAACTTTTTATATACATTTGGTAGGTCTGCAAATAGGTTTTTATCTATTTTTATATTCCTAAGTGCTATTGTTTAATAAATCGTAGTTTAGTTTAATAATTTTTGACCAGGTCGATAACTGCGGGATTAAAAATGAATTATTTAATGATTTATAAATATATATATATATATATATATATTTATTTAAAAACTATTAATTTTATTTTTGGTATTAAATGAGTGTTATTACATAAATATTAAACAACTAGATCCCGCAACAGGTGCCAAAACAAACAAAAATGTTAGTTCGAAGGATTATTATGCATATCGGTTGATGACTAGACGCGATCAGGACAACGTTATTCTACGATATCGTGAGTTTTGTCAATAATTTATGGTCGATATGTATGTAAAGATAGAGAGCGAATGATTACGATACTTGAAATTCAATCAAAAAAATCTATGTGCAGAAGATTCTAAAAACAATTGTTAGATATCGGTGATGGGAAAATTACTACAGATGAAACGGGATGCATACAATTACCGACGGATTTCTGCACAATCAATGATTCACAAGATGCTCTTATTGACCAGATATTTCCCAATATATACAGATAATACACATATCATGAGTGGCTGGCAGAAAGAGCAATTTTAGTAGCAAAATATGTGGACGTAAACGAATTGAATCTCAATATACAACATTTATTACCAAGAGACTTGGTGTCATACAAATCTATTGATACAGTTTGCGATGCTACTGAAGCTGTAAATTATCCAACAGAGTTTTTAACTCATTGGATTTAGCAGACATGCCACCGCATAATTTACAACTGAAGGTTGGATCTCCAGTTATCATTTTAAATAAAGCCATCATTTTAAATGGCAAATTCCGAAGTGAAAATATATTATAACCGCGAATCCCTATTATACCCACAGATGTGCCAATAAAATTTAAACGCCTTTAATTTCCAATTAGATTAGAATTTGCAATGACTATCAATGAGTCTCGAGGTCAAATGATATCTGTCTGTGGCTTAGATTTGAGCGCATCATGTTTTTCACACGGACAATTATACGTGGCATGATCTCGAACCATCCAGTTTGTGTTGGCGAAAGATGGGATAACAAAAAATATTGTACACTCTGTTGCATTAAGATTAAGGGATAGATATTGTTTTTTACTAATATTGTCATAATTAGCGATGTATATAATTTTAATGGATCAATTTTAATAAATTATTAAAAAAATAAATGTTTGATGTTTATTCATTTTTATATTTCGTCATCGTTCACAGCACTCTATACCTCTTCCACTTATATACCACATCCTTATGCACTTATATTAAATTAGATATTTTTTTCTATCAAAAATTGTCTAGAAATAATTTATATGACATAACAACGTTTGTCGGGTCAGCTTATTCATATATATATATATTATATTGATTAACAGCAGGCTAGAGAGATTATTTACTAAGTACTTAAGCAGTAGTAAAACCCATCACGGTGATTATATTATAATAGTTAATAGTTGTTAGTAATGTTTGAAGAAACGGGTCACCACACAATATTCTGTTTAATCATCTATGACGGTAGCAGTCATGTACGACGATAGTGTGTTGGTTGGTAGTTCAGTGATTAGTTAGTTGTGGACTTAAGTATGACACATTTTAGAAATTTGATTCAAGGTTCGAATCTTTATGTCTTTGTAGGAGTCTTTACATTATATCAGGGCGCTGAGGATACAAACCGGGCAGAGATAATTAGAACGTTTTAGATTGTTTGGATATTAGAAGGTTTTGCCCGATGATGTATATCTATTATGGTTTAAGTTTAGACATATAAATTATTATTTTGTAGTTGATATTCAATTTTGAACGCAAGAGCAAGGGTCTTATAAGATGAAGACAAGAATTTAAGGCTTTAGTTTATATTATAGATGAGAGTTCGAGGTTAGTTTTTTGTCGAGAATAAGACGCAGGTATTAAATCTTTGAGATGGTAGAAATAGAGTATTCTAATGTATAAAAAAAATAAAGCATATTTTGTAATTTCAATAAATACTTGTTTTAACATTATAGAATACTTTAATATTCTAAGTTATATTAGAATAAATGTAATTATTATATTGTATAATGTATTATGTTAAAATATTTAATCGAAATATTTACAAATACATTACTTTTTAAGTTATTATAGTATACAATCAGGGCCGTAGCAACTAAATATTGCGTCCGGGGCGTAACTTCAAAATACGTCCATAAGTATTTTAATTTATAAAAAACCCATAAATAAACTGAATATTTTTTATAGATATAATGTAAATAATGATTTTTCCTTATAATTATGTAAGCATTAATTAATTTAATTTAAATCTATTATTTATTAAAATATAAATATACATAATAATTATAAGTAGGTTAAAAGGATATCATAATAATATTTATAAGTTAAATAAGTAATTAAATACATAATATTGTTTTAACTTGTAAGTAACAATTAAATTGTAAATTTTTCATTTTTGCGCCCTTCCGGGAATGTTGCCCGGAGCGTAGGAACCTCCACCTCCTCCTTGCTACGGCCTTGTATACAATTTGAATATGAAAACAATGAAATACTATTATTCAAATGATATCTTAATTAATAAATAATCATTATTTATTCTTCCAAAATTATATGATATAAAATATAATTATGGTGGGAAGAGAGAAATTAAGTGTGCCATTATATTTGCTTGATAAATATGTTTTACTTGAATCATTTTGGTAAAAATATTGGTAGCCAAGGATATCTTTAATTTTAAATCATGCAGTATTAGATTGAATTTTTAATTTATATTTTATTTATTACACACCATATTTTATAATTTGTACAAATGCAAACTTCAATATTATAACTCGTTGACCAATTAGAATACTTATAGTTTATGTTATCTATATTCAACTAAACAACTACTATTTTCAAATAAAACATAACGTTACATTATATTTTACATAATTTGACGTATTAATAAATAAATCCCATAATTTATCTAAGAATTTTCAGAAAATTCTTGATTATAATATTAATGCCCTTTCTTATATCTACATTTTTGATCTCGTTATGACAACTAAAGGTTGGAATGGCTTTCTAAGACAACAACCCAAAATTATACTGATTAACGTAAAGGGACTCTGATCAATATTGACTTTTGATTTAAATTGAATGAAATTAAGTAAACATAATATTAAAGCTATGTATCATACAAACATCAGTAATTATATTTTTGTGATCAAGATAATTCAGTTGAGTTTAAAAAATGTAAGTTAATTAAATATTGAAGTAAGTACTAAGAAATTAAAATATATTTGATGTATGTAATTTTTCGATATCAGAACGAAGCAGAATTTCGTACTAGCTATATAATTCTTTATTTTAAATATTATCGGAATATCTTAATTATATTTTAAATTAAAATCTTAATCTTTACATATACAGTTAAAGATTTTAACTGAAATTCGAAAAATTAATAATCGTCGACATTATTCAAACTTTTATATGAATGCATATCATATAAAATAAACATACTTTCATGAATTGTTGTATATTTTGTGCAAATATTATCGAAAACCTCTTATCTATACACATGTAATAAAAATTAATTCCATAAATGATAGTCAATTTATTTTTACCATTATTATTATTTATGGCATTCATAACCGATTTGGAAAAGAGTTTTTATCTGATATTTCATAAATTGTAAGGACCCTTAAAATGATAATAAAATTAAACACTTCTTTTCCAATACAAACTACTTTTCATTATTTTCTCTAAAATAAGTTTGATAATATGAATAGTATACATTTCAAAAGAAGTATACCTTGGTTTTCTGAAAATTAAGCAACTTTATAAAGTATTATTGCATTAATATGCAACACACATACTCTCTATGCACTAATTTATAACATTAATATATGGTAGATATTATACAGACATGGTAATTTAATCGAATAGTAATTTGAAAAACGAAATGTCGAAAGCTCTCATGGCTTATATTCGCACATCCGTCACATTTGCTAACTATAATACCTTTATCGTTTATAGGTCGTATTCATGTTATGCACCCCGACAAAATATCGCCGGTAAAATATCGCGTGACCAAAATATCGCTATTAAAATATCGCAACTAAAATATCGCGACTAAAATGTCGCGAAACTAATATATCGTAAAGAAATCATACTGCTGTACATTATTATCGTGTCTGTATTGAATTTAAC